AATGGTTTGCAGAACACGGAAGACCTATTGGCATGCGAAGTGTTTACCGAGGAATGAGAAGTTTTGGCTTGTTTTCATACCGGCCACACTGGGTCCTCCCTTTAACTCGAGAACACCGACGTAATCGCCTTGAGTGGTGCAGACAACGGTCACTCTGGGATCGGGAATGGAACAGTATTGTGTTTAGTGACGAGTCTTGATTTTGTTTAGGCATGCACGATGGTCGTGCCAGGGTTAGAAGGCGACGTGGTGAAAGTTTTTTGTTGAAAGACATGTTCATCACACTGTTGGAGTTATGGTTTGGGGTGCTATAGCTTATGGTTCTAGGTCACCTTTAATCTTCATCAGACGTAACATGAACGCGCAGCGTTATATCCACGAAGTTCTAGAACCCCATCTTTTACCCTATCTTGACACCCTGGCAGATCCAACTTTCCAACAAGATAATGCCCGACCACATGTTGCAAGAGTCACAATATACTTCTTTCAACATAATGATGTCACATTGTTACCATGGCCACCAAGATCTCCCGACTTATCCCCAATTGAGCATGTGTGGGATATGATGGGTAGGAGATTGCTCAATTTGCAACGTCCTCCTCAGACTCTAGAAGCACTTCGAGAGGAGTTGGTGGTTGCCTGGAATGAGATACCACAGGAGGACATTGACCACCTGATCAGAAGCATGCCTAGGTGCGTTGGAGAATGCGTAGCTCATCAGGGTGCATCCACACATTATTAAAGGTCAAAGGGCTTTAAAGCAGTGCAATCATTTTGAAATTTTTATCATTTACTTATTATGCTTCATTAAGTACTTATACAAAATTTTATTAAAACAAAACCATTTAAACTGGGTGTTCGGATTTATATGTCACTTAGTATATAATTTTTGAGGTTGCCAAGTATCTTAATTAAAGTTTAAACCTTGTTGGGTATTTTGAGGCTTCTTTATTTAAAGCGATGTTCAACCCTTGTCTGTTGGGTCTGAGGACACTCACAACCCATTCTCATCATACAACTGATAAACTGCGGCTATACAAATGGCGACCTCTTTTGAATAGGGCGACGACTGAAGCTAACCTTTCATGGATCACATCAGAGGATGCGCTGAAGAAGAAAGTAAACGTCATTCGCTCAAACAAAAGAACGTCACCGTGTTGCATAAATCGTTTCGAAATAATTTATGATTGACAGCGTAAACATTTCGCGGGGAATAGGTCATGATATGACACAGAAGCAGAAGCTGGTATATACACAACCGTACCTACTCTTATTACGTCTTTATTATGCTTCTCTCTGTTGGTGTTACGGAGGATTCGGTTAAGGGGCGACGTGGTATATTGGACATCGATTAATACTATTTGTTTGTAAACATGTCAAGATTTGTCGTGAATATTCTACTTCGTATTCTCCAATGGGGAAGTTCTATACTATGCGAGTAAATGTACAGAATTTGAGATTTCAATGTTCCGCCAAAACCAGACTATTTTCATTTCCTAACAACTGTATAACCCTCACCTGCTGCAATTCAAATTGCATATTTTCGTCTAGTTTTGAAAAACGCAGTACTCGGTGCATCCCTAGTCTCTATCATGAAATAATCAACAAATTAAATCTGTGCCATGTGGGATCAACTGAGGCCTGGCCACGTTGCAATTATTCCGCTGTCATAATTTGTAAGAAATGTCAATTTGAAAACGATTTCTTCGTAACCTCAAATCGACTAAATGTCTGTTATTTCATTAATAAATATACCCTGGAGAAAAGTGAACACAGCTTGCAGCTGGTAGTCCACAGTTGTGCGCAGCATGCACAGGAACGCGGTACGAGCATAGGTACGACGAACTTGGCCGGTGAAAAAGTTTGCCGAGAATGACGTTCCGTAAAAGACCGTCTCGCTGCCTTTACCACTTTTTAGACAATATTGTAAAAACGATCGCGATTTGATTGGGCTTTTCGTGACTCGCTTAGAACCATCTGGAACTTGACATCAACCACAGACATTTCTTATGTCTATCCCAGAGAAGGCTACTGCGATTAGGCAGTTGTAGCTTTTGACAGTATTTTAATATATGGCATCGAAATATCAATCTGACCTGATTTGTGCTAATAAACATTTTTTTTGGTAATACATCCTAGATACCAAGTACATTCTGGTTTTCCATGTTTTATTAAAATGCAAATAATTTTCCACTAATACGTTTGACGATAAAAAGATCTTGACCTTATTAGAACGTTTATAGCAGCAATGTTATGTAAACAGTGTTATAAAACATAAATTGTTAGTTGGCAGCGCCATCTATAAGAGACTATAACCTCTTCAGAGTATAATAGTTTATAGAGAAACAGCTGTGACAAGATGTTGACTCTATATATTATGTAAAATGTACAATCTGCTTACAGTAACCGCCATATACATATTCAAATGTGCTCTTTTTGCATTTACGCATAGAAACAAATTTACGCGAAATAGTGAAATAAACATCCATTACCACACAAGGAATGCATTTGATTTATGTCCCATATCAGAGCACTACTCTATTTGAAAAATCGCCCCTCGTCATGTGTATGGAAATATTTAATAATCTACCGAATATACCAATATCTGTCATTTAAAAAATAGCAGAGAAAATATCTAGTTGACAAGTGCCCATATTCCCTGAAGGAATATTTGACAAAGTTTAGTTAATTTTAAGGTATGTGTAAGTGCTACCTTAATTGGTCCTCTTCCGTTAGATATCTTATTATTATTTTGGTGCACCTTCTGTTTATTTAATTTCTTCACATTGTTTTAAATGCTGATTGAATGTATACTAAGTGACATATAAATCCGAACACCCAGTTTAAATGGTTTTATTTTAATATAATTTTGTATAAGTACTTAATGAAGCATAATAAGTAAATGATAAAAATTTCAAAATGATTGCACTGCTTTAAAGCCCTTTGACCTTTAATAATGTGTGGATGCACCCTGATGTGCTACGCATTCTCCAACGCGCCTAGGCATGCTTCTGGTTAGGTGGTCAATGTCCTCCTGTGGTATCTCATTCCAGGCAACCACCAACTCCTCTCGAAGTGCTTCTAGAGTCTGAGGAGGACGTTGCAAATTGAGCAATCTCCTACCCATCATATCCCACACGTGCTCAATTGGGGATAAGTCGGGAGATCTTGGTGGCCATGGTAACAATGTGACATCATTATGTTGAAAGAAGTCTATTGTGACTCTTGCAACATGTGGTCGGGCATTATCTTATTGGAAAGTTGGATCTGCCAGGGTGTCAAGATAGGGTAAAATATGGGGTTCTAGAACTTCGTGGATATAACGCTGCGCGTTCATGTTACCTCTGATGAAGATTAAAGGTGACCTGGAACCATAAGCTATAGCACCCCAAACCATAACTCCAACAGTGTGATGAACATGTCTTTCAACAAAAAACTGTGGATTCCTCCTTTCACCACGTCGCCTTCTAACCCTGGCACGACCATCGTGCATGCCTAAACAAAATCGAGACTCGTCACTAAAGACAATACTGTTCCATTCCTGATCCCAGAGTGATCGTTGTCTGCACCACTCAAGGCGATTACGTCGGTGTTCTCGAGTTAAAGGGAGGACCCAGTGTGGCCGGTATGAAAACAAGCGAAAACTTCTCATTCGTCGGTAAACACTTCGCATGCCAATAGGTCTTCCGTGTTCTGCAAACCATTCATTTGCAATGGACCTGGTAGTGGAGAAACGGTCCCTTAAGGCCAATAATCTTAGGCGGCGATCTTCACGGTCTGTTGTTCTACGGCGGCGTCCAGTGCCCCTTGCTCTTTGCGTACGGCCTTCTCGAAGCCATGCCTGACAACACCTAACCACAGTGTCTACACTTCTTTGCACTCTAACTGCAATTGCCCGAAAAGAAAGTCCAGCTTCCCGAAGTCCCACTATACGGCCCCTATCAAACTCACTAAGTTGACGAAATCGTACAGGTCTCCATACTCTAGGCATCGTAACCGATCGTAAAGGATGTCAAGAACCAAAATCCGCCAACGTTGATTCTTTACTGCGGCTGAAATATTTATTTTTAGAGCGTTAGTGAATTAAAAAAAAAGCAGTATAAAAACCGGAATGTCCAACTGATAAGGCTGAAAATTTTTTCACTTGTTATTTACAGTAAGATAAATACATTCACCAACTTTTATTATTATTTTATTATTAGATGGCTCTTATATGGACTCCTAAATTTCAACGTTTGTTTTTTGAACAAATGTGTATGTCTTTGTTTTTACTTACATGTGCAGGAAATATATTTTGTCGCTTTGACTTATCACATATTCATCATCATAGATTACGCCCTGTGTCCCATTTCATCTTAGATAATTTCTTGCACGCGGGATTGTAGCATTAGTTTGCCTATACTCAGATAGAATACGTTATTCAATGTTTTGCGAGTGTCAGATTGCGTCTAACAATCGCCATTTTGCAGTTAACGCGATAAGGATGCAGTGTCTGACTATTGTCATATTAATCAGAAAAGTATTGTTCGTTCAGAAAAATGACCATTGACCTCTTAAAAGCCAAACGAGTAAACCTTCTTGACGGCTTACGTCGGGTCCTCCGCCTTGCTGGCGTCTGATCAGTGTGATTCCTAATAGAAGAACCAGTTTCAGGTAAATTAGAAGGTGGATGCTGCTTGGCTTGCTTTGGCCTCAGACGACCTCAGTCCGCAGTTTGTCCGTCGAATTTCGGACTACCCCAATGGGACGGATGCTTGAAATACCGCGGCTCTATGGACAAAAGGCGCAGGTTTAAAAATCGATGGACAGAGGCGGAATTAGCGAACCTGTGGCCTGATTCTAATTGAATTTCGACGCTTGAAATTATTAGCTATATCGCCTTATCGTCTTTGACCTCTATTTCTTTATTCAAATTATGGTAGCATTGTGAAAATTATTATAGCTGATCTAATGTGTGATGGAAAGCGACATCGAAATCAATATCGACGATTGAAATTCACCTGATTCTAAGTCCAAGTTATCACGACAGCGTCGCAAATTAACATCGTAGATCATATGTACGACGGCAAGGCTACAATAAAATTAATTTTAAAAGTCAAAGAATCCTGGTCACTGACTATATGGTCTAGAATGGGGAACATTCCCTGCTTATACAGGGTGTCCCGAAAAAAGTGTGCAATATCCTACCAGCGGTTTCTAGAGCTTAAAATAGGAAGAAAAGTTTATATAAACATAGGTCGACAAACGTCCGCTAAGGGCGCTACGGTCTTTTCAAGGGGCTGCCCTGAAGATGGTTTTTCCTTAATATTTCCGAAACGTGTTGAGATAAAGACATAAAATTTGGTATTCTAGTCAACAACAATTTTAGACAGTTTTGTTTGGATGCGTATGTAACATTGACGGACTCAGGTTATTTTAGCCTCAACATTTTTGCGTGATTCTATTTTTGAAATTCAATTTTAGAATTTGAAAATTTAGGGTTTTCTACGTAAAAAAGGTACTCTTATTGAATATCGATAAATTGTGCCATTTTTGAATAAAATCAAACTAAAAAAATTGTCACATGATAGGAAATGTACAATCTAAGGTTGCTGGTGGGCCTGATGTCTGGCCATAACACGTTAAGGCGTCACCTGCACGTGATGGGGGTGGCTGAGGATCCCTTGTGTGAACGCTGCGGGGTAGAGGAAGAGACCTCGGCGCACGTTTTGTGTCGCTGTGAAGCTCTGTGCTACTATAGGTACTGGGGTCCATTACTTTGGACCCTCACGACGCCAAGGAGCTTGGACTCAAGGCGATTCTCAACTTCGCTATATGGGCGAGGCTCATGGTCTAAGGAATATAGAGGTGCATAAGGGCCTATGCACTGGCTCCGTATGGTGGCCGGAATGCTTCTAATTTCAAGATTCATTCATTCATACAAGAAATTGCGATATAACCTCCCCACGCCCCCCCACAATTTGTTACCCCTATTTTTTTTTAAATAATATAAGGTCAAAAACGAACGATTTTAAATTTTTTCGTATTTCACCTTTTTTTCCGACGTTCTAAAACAATTTTCTAAAATTACAAAGAGTTGTCGTCTTTGGCATAGTAGTAACTAACCTTGTGTCAAAATTTTATCAAAATCCGAGCGATACTTTCAAAATTATGGACGGGCCAAGGATTAACGGAGAGTCCGACAGACAGGACGATAGACAGCAAGGCAGACAGACAAGCAGACCGACAGACAATCAGTCCAACCGACAGACAGACAGGCAGAAAGACAGATAGACCGACGGAAATCAGTGATATGGTTTTTCGTGACGCACATGTCATAACATCCAAAAAACATCGGATTTTGGAATTCTTTCGCAATTACTTAAAATAACTAATTGGTGATTTTTTTTATTGAATTTTACTATCAAAATTCATGTTCGGTTAAGAGAGTGCATCGAGCACTGCTTCCAATTTATGGGCAATTTGGTCGGCCTACTGAGGGAGCTTTTCGGAAGCTTGTGACTAAATTTCGAACCGAGTTTACTTTACACTGGACAACAAATTTTAGTTTTTTAATTGTATCTTGTGGGAAAAGTGTTAATTTTGTGGCGCTGAATCCAAAAATGACAATGAAATAAAAAAAATAGTTGCGGTTTAGAAAAAAAACTTTATTTTTAAGGATATATTAAAAAAAGTAACAAGATTCATATACTTATAAGAATCACTATAAGCGCTGTCTTTTTGCTGTTCTTTTATGGATCGTTTCTGGAGCATCTCTACCAAGAGTCCAACAGTAGTCTGCAAGCATGGAAGGATTCCACTTTCCCTGGTACCTTTTTTCCATTGTTGAAATATCCTGATGAAAACGTTCGCCGTGCTCATCACTTACGGCTCCGCAATTGTCAGGAAAAAAGTCCAGGTGTGAGTGTAGGAAATGTATCTTAAGAGACATATTACAGCCCATCTTTTGATACGATGACAGCATATTTTTGACAAGGGTTTTATAGTTGTCAGCTTTTCTATTTCCCAAGAAATTAGTGATCACCAGACGGAAATCATTCCAAGCAGTTTTTTCAATACCTGTTAAAGTGTTTTCAAACTGTGTATCTTTCAAAATATTTCGAATCTGTGGCCCAACAAAAATACCTTCTTTAACCTTTGCCTCACTTAGTCTTGGAAATTTCTGACGCAGGTATTGAAAAGCTGACCCATCTCTATCTAATGCCTTGACAAAGTTTTTCATTAGGCCCAACTTGATATGCAGTGGTGGTAATAAATTTTTTTTCGAATCTACTAATGGCATATGCTGTACATTTTTTTGACCTGGCTCTAGGAATTGACGAACAGGCCAGTTTTGTCTGGTGTAATGAAGTGCCTTTGCCCGACTGTCCCATTCACACAAAAAACAGCAAAACTTTGTGTAGCCTAGCTGCAGCCCAAGTAAAAGTGCAACAACTTTCAAATCGTCACAAATATGCCATTGGTGCTCATCGTATTTTATGCATGTCAATAGGTACTTCATATTGTCATATGATTCTTTCATGTGAACTGCATACCCTACAGGAAGAGATGGTAAAATATTTCCATTATGCAATAACACTGCCTTTAAACTCAATGTTGAACTGTCTATAAACAATCTCCATTCTTCTGGGTTATAGTTTATATTTAAAGCCGCCAGTAAGCCGTTAATGTTACTGCAGAAAACCAAGTTATTCTCCATATTGAAAAATGGTTCTAAGTCTTTGTGGCGTTTACGAAAAACACATACCGAAACATCGACTTCTAAGAAGTTCCACTGCTGCAGTCTTGATCCAAGTAACTCTGCCTTACATTTTGGAAGTTCTAAATCTCTTACAAGATCATTTAATTCTGACTGTGTTATTTTGTACGGTTGGTGGCATGACGTGCTCGATATAAAATCAGGATCTCTTGACGTTGATGGCATATCTTCTTCCTGACATCCTGACGAATCACTCCATCGAAATGATCTGATTCGTTTTCTGATTCGCAAGTGTAGGATTCTGGGGGTTTTGGAATAGGATTTTCGTCACTGTGAGGCACAGGTCTCATCGCAGATGGTATGTTTGGGTAGTTAATAACCGATTTTTTTTTCTTGGACATACCTGTGGCTCGTCTAACACAAGGTACCATGCAAAAGTAGCAATCATTAATATGATTTGTAGGCTCTCTCCAAACCATTGGGATAGCAAAGCGCATAGACCGTTTTTTGCCATTTAACCAGCTCCTCAGACTTGAAGCACATGTATTACAGCAGATGTAGGGTGCCCACTGTTTGTCTTGATCACCTAGTTTACAACCGAAATAAAGCTGATATGCCTTTGTTATTAGTGGAGTAATAGACCGTCTCTGAGACGCAAAAGTCACATCACCACACACGTAACAAAACTGATCTGGATTGTTTACACACTTTCGAGACATCTTGCATGAACGCAGTCAGCCAACTGAGGAAAAAATATAATGTACACGTATGTATAACGTAACACAATCATGCCGATTACATCATCTTTCCTTGCCGAATATAAAAATGTAGCACGTGCATTCTTGTGAATTACAGTATAATAACACTGTCACAGCAGGAACACATATAATTACCGTATCTCTAAAACTTGAACTAATATTGAAAAAATAAGTTTCATTCCGGTTTCAGCACATTAAAAATAGTAATATTTTGTTGATTTTATTTAGGATATTTTTTGGCTGTTGATCAGTGTTATTGGACATTAAACCACACGGAACAATGGCCCTATTGAGAGGCGAGTTCGGTGAACAGTTTATCTCACGTTTGGGGCCCGTTAATTGGCCGCCTAGATCGTGTGATTTAACGTCGTTGGACTATTTCTTGTGGGGCCATGTTAAGGCTAATCAGGTATAAGCCAGCAACGATTGATGCACTGGAAGCCAGTATTGAAGCATTTATTCTTGAGATACCGGCCGATATGTTGGAGAGAGTGTGCCAAAATTGGACCTTGCGCATGGGCCATCTAAAGCGGAGCCGCAACCAACATTTACATGAAATAATCTTTAAACATTAAATTATATCGACCGTTCTATCGACCCAAATAAAGATTTAATCGTTTTGTCAATTTTTTTTTTTTGAAAATTAAATCCTATACCTCTTAAAAAATCACCCTTTAGAATCATCATCCTTACAAAATGGATGTAAACAATCTATTTTAGTTCTAGCTAGAGATTACCATTGTCTAACTTAACACACGCCTGAGTACATGAGGTGTAATGTAATAAGTCTATGCCTCCCCTGGTCCTCGCATATTAATGAAATAACATATCTGCTAATTTAACGTGTGTAATATCTTTGTAATTATCACATTCCATTTGTTTATTACCGTCCACCGCATCCACGATATCCTATCAAAACCCACGGTGCATCGCGAGCCAGTCTCGCCGCCGGATCGTGGAATCGAATAAAACAAAATGTCATTGACTCCGTTGGCCGGCGTCGACGCATTGCAGCGCCGCGGCGACGTGATCGCGAAAGTATAAACCAGTCAGAAAAAAGCGGTGCACTCTCGATTTCGATTTGCACACCACTGCGATATTATTCGGTTAAGGTAAAGGACGCGACAATGACCCACCGCATACCAGATCATTCAGTACGCCTGGCGAAGTCGGTGAATGTTATTGTGGTACCAGTACCACTGCCGAAATTTCGGCGAGATTTCTTCGGTGGGAGCAGTACCGATTCGCGACTGACCGACTAGCCATATTGCAGCGCTGTTCTTGGTACATTTTGTAGTACTCGAAGTCAGTACCACATGGCCAATTAAAGATTTCAATCTAAATTAAATAAGATCACTGCAAGAAGTTATTGTAAAACTTTGATGGCCGAATAACAACTATTTTTTTATACATCAACCACCAGGAAGGCTTAAGCCCTACCTAACACCCATGGGTACAGTAGCGCTGTGGGAGGATACAGAGAAAAGGGAGGGGGGGACGTCACACTTGTGCATGCAACTTGCACACATTCTGACTCCGCCCTAAAGATGCGCCGTGTGGTATAGTTTATCTGAAGTCACTTGAAACACTGTGAAATACCGGGTGCGTTTTATA